TTTCAGAAAAACATCTAGTTTTAACCTGCTTGATTATGACTTGGTTTTAGAGATATCATTAATAGTCAAAGTGGTTAACGTTTTTTGAAAAAAGGAGCAAAGAAGCAAAACATACTTGAATAACACTTTCTAAGTCAGGTATGCACCTCCAGACCCTAGCTAACTTATGTCACAAACCTGTGGCAATCCCAATGCAACCTGCAGACTGTTTTGTAATCTGCAAATTACTATTCTCAATGGTATGTTTATGGTTTGGATATATTTAAAAACATCCTTCAATTCTGTTTTACTCTTCAAAAACATTCTTTAATTCTGGTCTACCTTTCTCAACATCCCCGTCAGTCAAAAACTCATCTCTGTAATCACTACTGTTCCACACCTGTGCCTACCCAGGTTCCAAAGTCTCTTGAGCACCACCCCCACAGTCGCTATTCATACTTCTTATTCTAATGCAGAACAGCAGTAAATGACACACATTTTGAAAACTAGCTATGTCTGTGTCCTGAGAGCGTGAATATCAATAGCTAACAATATCAAAACAAGTAACAGCCCATCAATGCTCACACAAATACCAATCATTTGTTTAAGTCCAAGGTACAAAGTTAGGTAAATAGCCTCTATCTGGCCAGGAAATTTGCTCACATTTTAAACAGAATTTCCTTATCTCACTCACACCATGAGTAGAGTAATAAATCTGTCCCTGATTTCTGATACAGACTCCAGACATCATGCCACCAAAAGGCAGTTCTGTTCACAGGCCTCCTCCCTCAATTCCTCAACATCAGACTCAACTAGAGCCCAGCTCCAACTCAATGGGCCACAGTTCTTAAAGTCTTACTTACAAAACCAACAAAACTACCATTATCCCCCAGAAAAAGTAATCAAACATGCATGCTCTGGATTAAAAAGTTCACGAGGGCAAATGTAATTATTTGTTTTTTACTATCGAACGATCTTAATTCTTCCAGAAAACTCTTGTGCTTACGGGGCAAGGACTCTTGAGTGGAGGCAAAAAATAACGTATTTGAACCTCGGGTAGCAGTTTGGTAGGTTGCTTCATGGAATATTTGTTCGATGTTCTCCTCTGGAGGGCATGTAAAAAGTCATTAGTCTGGTATTCTCCAAAACTGCTGATAGATGTTCACGCATGTTTCCTCATCTTCTGCTGAGCTGGGGAGTGACTGCAGCGGATTGCCACAGATTGCCAGTCCCTTCCTCTGGCGTGGACGGATACCATCAAGAGGAACAGACACAGTCTTCCCCTGTAACTCTGCTAGGTCCAGACCTAAAAGGAGGCTACCTATCTTCCTGTCTTATGGTCACAGGACATCCCAGCAACGGTGTACTTACTTACAAAGACAGACATGCTTCTCAGAAGCGCACATATCTCTCAGTAAGAACACTTGCCTTTGCAAGTACAGAACTCAGCAAGACGCGTGCTGGGCGAGTGTAACACCCACGAAACTGGCTGCCGGGTCGGTGGGTCGCGTAAGACGGTCATATGGCTATACTGGTATGCGTGCGTAGTCGCCTACAGAATCTGGCATGAGATAGCTACGCTTACACAGAGAAATCTGACTCTGGGGTAGCCTCCTTCAGTTACAGGAGCGGAGGCGTCTTTCTGCGCGTTCTCATTATGAACATTTAAGACAGCGGGTCATCTTTAAGGCATGACATAATTGACTACTCTTTACACTGTATCACTACAAGGATATGACGCAGAAGAAAAGTCGGCGTCCCATATTCCTCAATATCTCTAAAGAAACCCAGGTGTCTAGGATAAAAAATAGAGCCTGAAAACCTTTTCGTAAACGTGAGACGATCTGAAACTAAGAGACAATACTATTGACGCCATTTCATGAAGAGGGCCAATTTCTGCCGAATGTGTCGGAGCTAGGCTTATGACGTTAAGACGAGGGGGATAACATTAACTTGTCATTGACCGACCACGCTGATTATAGAGTTTATTTTCTATGATGGCTACTTCCACTACCTTTAATCTTGTGTTATAATTATCACTGTATATGACATGATGAGTTGAGAGTTTCCATTTAAAAGTTACATACAAAAGGATATGAAGTCAATAATGGCTTATATTGATGAACACAACAAAACAACTCTCGCTCCAAATTAATGAGAAAGACACACAAACTCACGTGCACGCACCAGACACAAACAAATACGGACCAAACGTAGCTGAACGTCACTATCGACAACCTCTGGGCTCAATCATCTGACTTGTCATTTATAGATCCTTTGCTGGAGTACGATCTTATAATTCCAGAAGAGCATTGCGGCGTAAACTGGTATAGCAGTGACTCCAGGTCATTCGGGTGGGCTGCTGGCAGCCTAAGCAGAAGGCTCTAATAGGCTTCTAATTAATTTCCAGAAGATTGCTGTTATAACTAACAGGTTTTAAACATTTGGTTGATTGGGGAAAATGAATTGAATATAATGTATTTGATTTGGAAAATTAGTTTTCATTCTATGTGCTTACCATAATAGTGTTTATTTTAAGTTTACATGATTCCATTAAGAGTCCCAGAACCCCACTGGGTTGTTTTCATCCTTACAGTCTAGCCAACTTAAAAAAAAAAAAAAGAAGAATCAATTTACATTTATATTTTTGTTGGCCTTTATTTGAGGGCAGGTTAAATTCATACTTGTGGCTTTAATAAAAATCTTTCCTCACTAATATAGGAACAGGCCCCAAATACTTCAAAAATGATCCCAGCGATACCTCAGTGAAAAGCCCACTCATCGAATGCAAATCCTCTGCAGAAAGACTCTGCACAGAGTACGATGAACCAGTTCCAGCACTGTTTATTAAGTTTCACTTGATTCCTCCTGACAACCATTTAAACAATGAATGTTGGGAAATGTCCCTCAAAGAATCAACCACAATGGCAGGGATCAAGGCTTTTATATTTAGCTAATACTATTTTTAAAAGGAGAAAATATTTCTTCCTGAAGGGATTATGGGGAGCCTTATTAAAGACACCTGCAAACAAAACAAGTGACAATAGGGCTTTATCACAATTGATAACTGAGTTATCCTTTATATAAAACTCCTTTCTTGGAGACAATAACATCAAGATTTACCTTTGCTGAAGATTCAAGAAATTGGTTAATTGGGACCATGAGTATTCAACAATGCTAAGTGTACCAAGACTATGTGACTGGATAATAAGGAGAAAAAAGGGTCCTTGTCTAGCTGGTTAAACAGAAGTACAACGAGACTAGAATATTACTCCTCAGGCTGTTGAGAATGTTTTATATGGAAACCAAGTAGCATGCATGCCTTTCACTCCACATGTGACACAAAAACCCATGGGGGATTCTAATTATCAGGGTTCACTCAGCTAAGCACACAGTGGGCCAGCCGGCTTTGCAAACCCAAACTCAGCCTAGCTCACAGTTGCAGGAAAATAGAACCTTTCAGAAAATCTCCAAGTAATTAGCAGTCACTGTACTTACAGTCATCTGCATTCTACAAAAAAATAAATACAACAGTTTTAGTGAAAGACTGCTCCTAGGGGGAAAGGAGGGATAAACAGCATAGCTAAATCTGGTGGGACACATTTTAAAAATAAGTCTGCAGAAGGACAAAGACAATCAAAGGTGCTGGTTTGCAGTATAAGTTCCACCTGCGCAGCCCAGGTGAGTCTCAGCTTACTTCACATTGAAACAAGGGATGCCTTGCCTATGGGCTAAGCTGTATGCATTCAGATATTCACAGCTGCCTTTCTGTATGACTAACAGGAATGCCAGCAATTATTTTCGGCCTATTACTGATTTTTTCTGACACATCTAATTTTCTTTTATACTTCGACTTCGAACTTGGGCATTTGAGCACTGATGAAGAGGGAGAAAGACCCAATAAGACCAAGCCATAGATGGAAACCCCACCTGCAGCACTTTCACTTCTTGACTTTCCATTCCACGCTTGGTAAGAACTACTGTAAACTGGCACTTAGGGAAAGTGAAAACTGTCCAAACTCGTGGCATGCTAGCGACAGCAGCTGGCATTTTACAAAATGCACAGCTTCAGATAGATGCAGTTCGCTTCCAAGATAAACACCAGGAAAAAAAATTCCCCGGCCTGAGTCACTGAAAAGTAGACAGAATTAAACAATAAGAAAAAAAAAAACAAAAACCATATATATCTATACCACAGCAGTAACAATCCTGAATGAAGACCATAAGCGATAAGAGGACCCAACACTATTCTTTAGGACCTCAAGTTCCCAAACCAAACAAATGCTTTATAGAAGATTTCGTGTAGGATTTTTTTTGCTATTTAAAAAAAAAAAAGATATCATTAAGACAGAGCAGTCAACGGGTGAAAAGAAAAAACTGCCTAGAAAAACAAAAAGGCATTTTCTGAGATGACTTTGATCCTGTACTCAAATTATTGACTTAATCATGGTTGCCTTTAAAAGCTTTGTCTCTGCAATAACCGCTCTCCATTGTCCTTGTTAACAAAGTATTATTTTCACCTTATTATTACTAATCTTTTCTTTGTAAGTAACCACACCTGGTTTTATCCTCGTCAAAAAAAACCCAAAAAAACAAAAAAATGGTGCAGTAAATATTTGCCCTTTGTGGTAATACAATGCACAATTTAGTTAATCTGGGCTATCTTTCCGTGAGAGGTGATTGTTTCTATATTATGAAATGTATTCACAGTCAAGAAAAATCCACGCCAGATCCCTGGGAGGCAGACTGAGAGCCACTTACCCAGCATGTAACTGCCATGAACCAACCCTGACAAGACTGTGTGGCCACACCCACACACAAGGTATTACTCACGCTAACTTAGCCTCCGAACCAAGGCCACACCTTTCTTCTACAAACATGGCCTTTTATTAAGGTAACATTACACAGGGCCAGGCCCAGATCCCCACTCCCACCCCCTTCTACCAAATGAAAAAACCTTGAAAAAAAAAGCCAGGAACTTCAGTTTTGCATTTGAGAGCTTGACATTACTGTTACCTTACCTGGATGAAATCTAGAAATGTCAGGGGAAGCAAGTCATCCATATGTCCAATGTCTTTGGAGAAACGATTTAAAATTCTTCCTGCAAGAACAGGATATGAGAAATTATTCATTTCCCCAGATAGACCTTTAAGAGAAACTACTTGCAAACAAATCAAAACAATATTTTAGATGCATATGTCTTTAATATATTACGCATTCATATGAAATAAGCCGATGTCAGTGGCAAAGAGAAAGAGAATAGGATGATACCTAAAGAGAAATAAAAATACCACCAAACGGTACCAGGCAAGGAATTAAAATGTGGCCTTGATTTAAAAAAAAAAAAAGCGGGGGGTGGGGGGGTGGGCAGTATCAGAAAGGGTGGTGGGTTTTAGAATGTTCCCTCGTTTTCAGATGTCTTCTAGGATCTAAAGCTCTCAGTGGGTAGGTGAACAATTATAAAACACATAAATTAATCCTGTTAAACTGATTTTGCTTTAGTTATTAGAATTAACTTTGCTAAATGGTGCATTTTGTATTAAATATAATTGTAACCTCAGAATTTTATTTTCCCCAGGATGGTTCAAGGGCACCTCACATCCTGGGAAACTTGAAATGCTTCCAAATTGTGAGTGCACTATCGGCAAACAGACAGGTGCCAAGTGTGACAAAAGCAGACTTGAACGTTCAAGGAGACAAGAGGAACGCAGGCAGGAAAACAGAAATAATACTCGATGATTAAATACTCACTTCCTATCATTGATTTTACTCCCCTGTCAAGTAGAATACCAGAAAACCAGCAGAAACCAGTTTCTAATATATATTGCTTTTTTTACTTGAAAAATTGAAGTCCTCCTCCCCTACAAAGCAAGAATCCGGTTTGCGTCTCTGAACTTATTTTCTAAGTGATGCTTTGGGAAGCCAGCTACAAGATGTGATGTAGGACTCTGGGAGTGTCCCTTAGAGGGGACTTCCTCTTCCATCTCCCGAAACCAAAGTCACTGGACCATGAGGGGTCAGAACAGTGGATGCTGCCTTCAAAGGCTTTCCAGGGGCACCTGGGCTCAGCCTAGAAATGCAGGGTATATAAGTCAGAGACCAGCTGGGCCTCAATTTTCCTGTCTCAGGCTTAGGACATGCAGACTCCATAAAATGTCATTTAGTGAAGTCTCTGGCAGACCCAGGGACAACTTTTCTTAGCCTTTAATAACGCCTCCTTTAGACAGTTGTTTAGAGCCGATTAAATGGGCCCATGTATGGGAAAGAAACTAGTCCCGATGATAGGCATTGTTTAAGAGGTGCTCAAAGACAAACAAACAAAAAGGCAGGATGGTGACTGTGACCCAGGTTCTGCAGCATGCCAGTGGAGAGGAAGTTCAACGTTAAAATATGCACTCTGGCTTAATAACTGGGGGTGGAGTCTTAGCATTTGCATATCTCATGAGCTCCCAGGATGCCCTTCTGCCCAGGCTTGGGGGGGCAGGAGGTCAGGTGAGCATTAGTGAGGGTGCCTGAATTCTGATTATTATAATAATAATCAGAATTATAATTATCATGGATGCTGTGGCCTAAACTGTATTTTTAGCTTTTCAAAGAATCAATACAAAAGAAGGAAAACACACATTAAAACTATTAAAAAGCTTAATTAAAACACGTGACATTTCTTCAGTGGAAAATTTATAACTTTTTAACATAGGCAAGATTCAGACACACTGAAGTATGGTTCCACTCAAAATGCCAAAAACATTTTTAAAAACTTCTGTTTAAAAACATTTAAAGGCTGACTAGTACAGATGACTAGTACATGAAAGTCACCCCTTTACCTTTTACCAAATGCAAGAATCTTCAGGTCTGAGAAACCCAAAGCTAGCAAACAGCATAAAATACAAAACTAACACGATCCATTTAGAAAAGCTGTCTTCACACAGCTACCACAATAACTGAATGTCAAAAATCACCCAAAACCCATATATGTATTCACCAATGAACCCAGTGTAGACAATGTGAGATCAAAAGATTCAATAGTTACTTCCTTGCTCTAAGAAACAATGAAGACAAAGAAAAGTGCTTGCAGAATATTTTCATCTGGCTTTGTGGCAGACTACTGTAATCAGCGATGTGATGTCAAGTTCATGGCCTCAGTCATTTTCTTAAAAGTCTCCAAATCAAATCCTTATGATGAATGACCTCCATACGCCTGCCATGTCTCTTCACCCACTGCATGTGGCCCTGGGTGGAATGTGTCCAGGGATGCGAAGGAAGGCAAGTCACAGTTTCAGGGAGTGGGGGCAGTCCATCCTCGGACCGTTCTAGTAGAAAAGGCTTGCCTACATTAAACAGAGTCCTACCTTCCCAAACACCCACTGTACTGCTGCTTATTCTGCCCTTGTAACCACACACAGTGAATCTCATTTCTCCCTTCATGTACTTAAAGAAAGTTAATCACAGCCCTTTCAGACTTCTCACAAGACACTGTCAGTCCCTGGGGTCTCTATAATCCCTTATGAGACAAGGTCCTGCTTTGGCGATCGCCTCTGCTCATACTCAGAGCCAACCTCTGAGTGAACTCTTCAATATTAAGAATTTCTTTATCTATACCCACTTTTAGGTGCATATAAAGAAGGTACACACATATCTAGAACCCACTGATGGTTCTGGAACTTAATTCTTTTGATAAGATTGGCCACTGACACTGGGGTGTAGCTCAGTGTTAGAGTAAGAGAGGGGACTGCCCTTTGGTTTAATATTCTGAAGAGATGGCCGAAAGTACTGGGTTTGAGATGGGTACCATATTGGGTCACTGTCACGGACCTGAAGTCAATGGTAGGTAGAGGGAGAAACAAGTAAAAGAACCACTGTTCTGGTGAGAAGTAGGATCTAAATCCAAACAGACTAACCCAAAGAACACAGAGTCTATCTGACAACACAAAAAGTATAGACCCATTCACTTCAGGCACAGTGCAACCTAGGGGGGAAAAGAGTGGTCAGAAGTGTAGGTTACTGAATGGAACCCAGCTGATTCACTAGACTGAAAAGGATCACTGTGCGCGGACATTGTGGGCCAGGGAGATAAGGACGCCAATCCAGGAGTGAGTCAGCCTGAACTTTCTGCATCATTCTACACAAACTAATTCAGCTAGACCAGCATAACAATGAACAGGTGTTGTAGAGGTTTGGTAGTTTGCCTCTTCTTCATCCTCTGTCAGAATAGGACATCCACATGGCAGAGATTCACAGAACAGCATGAAAGAAAAAGTGCAGAAAAGAGCAGTGGTAACAAGGCTGCACAATGTCCTCACCCTCCTCTGATGCACAGAAAGGACAGGACTCCAGGCAACTCATCCAAACTCTACTGAGACTCAGATTCCTTATTTGTAAAACAGAGATGATAAATTTGCCTCAACTACTTCACAAGGTCAGAGACCAGAAGTCTGAAAGAGAGCATGCTCACAAAGGATCTTCCAAGGTCAGAAGTAGCACACACATGTAAGGAGTTACTCACATGATCACTGTAGGGTGTTAAGAGTTTGAAGGGGCATGAAACTGTCCAAAGCTTGTATTTCTGAGATTCTACCATGAAGAATCTCCAAGAGGGAGAAGACAAAGTTGAGGCTAGGCACCCCCAACTCTGGATACCCTACCCTTATCTCTCTGCTGCCTATTCTTTCCCCAACAAGGTGCCAAACATCCATGAGATGTTCACATAGAGATGGCCCATGAAGAAAGCTTCTGTAAGCAATGGAAATGTTCGTGGCACTTTGTGTACCACTCTCCTTGTCTTAGAGATGAGGAGATAAAGACTGGCCACACTCACGGACATGCATTTCATAATGGGGTGGATGCCTTCTCCTCAGCCTTCTGGGGATTTCCACACTGCAAGGGAAAGAAGCATGACAAACCTCATTCTTCAGGACAACTTCCTTCCCTGACCTTTGCCACCCAAGAATAGAGCTGTTGATCATTTTTCCTTTTTGGTTCTCCCCCTGCACTTTGCTCTCTTTCATTTTTTGTTTACTTATGTACCCCAGATCTTATCTCCACTCCTGACCTCCCATGGCTTACTTAGACAAGTAGCCATCCTACAAAACATCTTACACTCCACACAGCTAAACTAAACAATCCTTTGAAATGGATCCATGACAACCTACACCCCACTTTTTGAGTGCCTTTGACCTAAGCTCAAACACCCAGCATGAAAACGTTGAAGGCACTTTTGACTTATTTTTATCTCACACAATTAACCAGCATGTCTTAATTTTTCATTTAAAATAACCTCATTTGCATCTTTATGTCTTTATCTATCAAATTAATGCTATCAAGTCTTTAGGAACAGAGAAGAGAGAGTAGATAGGTAACAGGTACCTAAGTAGCCTCCTTTTCATTCCACCTGGCTGTGCATCCTTCTCTGTCCTCTATTGGGAAGGGTCTCAAACTCCACTCAGTTCCACTTACCAAAGTCTCAGCCTTAGCCCTTCTTCTTCCTTGAAACTCTTGCTAACAAGCACAGCTCTCAGGAATCTGTCACTCACTTGAACTTCTTTACCTGTATGGGGCAGTCTTTGAAGAACTGCACTGCCCTTCTCAGGAACCCTCCACATCACTGATCACAATCAGCTCAACAAAAGTGGCCAACTCACAAAAACCCAGGTGCCAGCTGCCAAGTCATTCAGGTGGCCCTTCTCAGCAACTCTGAATCCATCAGAGAAGCAGGAAAAAGGGGCAGTCACACCATCCAAAGCAAAGAGGAGAGGCAAAGGACATGACATAAGCACAAGGCTTCTGACAGTGGCTTCCAGATCCTATAAGGACCACTGTGTGTCCAGCCCCAGTTCCAGAACAGTCAGCCTTGCTCACTCCAGTTCCTTAGCTGCCCAGGCTTCCATCTAGCCCACCCATCTCCATCTGAACCAACTCTGGGAGACTCCACACTGGTGACCCAAACCATGACTGCAGCAACATCACACACCCACAAAACACAGACTTACCGAAATTGCTCGGGGAAATGAATTTTATAAAGTTAACTTTCTAAGTTGCTAATTACCCTTTTAAGTAATAAAGCTTTAAGAAAAATTAAATCATTTTGGCAAAATCTATTCCATG